CCTGGTTTATGACAGACAGGCATATTTCAGAACGTTATAGTTTCTATGTGACCGCTTGCAGCATGGACGGATCTTTTTCTTGTTATTCTGATCTGGAGTGGTCATAGGTGATCATGACTCTGTATTGCTAATAGATATACATGTTAATACTTTTCTAAAAATGTAGATTATCCAAACAAATATTTCCCTGCTTCTTCCACCCTTAAATCTTTAGTATCTCATCATTTAACACTATGATTTTCCGCCTGTGACGTAAGAATTTTGAACGTTGTTTGTAATTCCGAGATACCCTGTTAGATTTCAGCTGTGGGCGATTTGGAAGCAGACCGATTTGTTGTTCGTTTTGACAATGGTATCTGGAGTTGACCGTTCAGGAGCAATGGTAGATTAATGAACCTAAAACTGCCTAGTAAAACCGTAAACAGCTAACAAATGTCGGGTTGGTTTGCAACGTCATCTAAAGGGTACACAAATGATTGGTTTTCCTCTTATTTCTCGGGTTCACCGGCTGTAAACTCTTTTGGACGATTCTGGCTGTGTTTTCGCTTCTGGACTTCAGTCTAATTCCAAAAATCTAAGTTGTTCGTGCACATCAGTTTTACAGATCTGTCTTATTTGTAGGCTGACAGCTGGCTCATCCCCTTTCAGACAGATGCATTTTAGCATTTGAAGGAAACACTCCTAATCGGTCGACTCTTATGACATGCTTGATGGGGGAGGGGTAGTTGGTCTATTCTTTATTTCCCAAATAACCGGAGCCCGGAACTCATACTAGCGCTTCAAAAAAAAAAAAAAAAAAATTAGACATGCTTCACCATGCTTTGCTCACAAGTTACACAATCTTGTTAGTAAAAAGATTCGTCCACAAGCCAAGTTCGCACAAGGGAGCGGTTCTGGTGTAGCGGCTAGAATCTTGCTCGTGGATCGGAAGATGGTGGGTTCTTGTTCTGACGGATCCAGAGTGTCTTAGCCACATCGCCCACAGAGTGCCTTAGCCAGATCGCCCACAGAGTCCCTTGACCAGATCGCCCAGAGAGTGCCTTGACCACATCGCCCACAGAATGCCTTGACCACATCGCCCACAGAGTACCTTGACCATATCACCCACAGAGTGCCTTGACCAGATCGCCCACAGAGTGCCTTGACCACATTGCCCACAGAGTACCTTGACCATATCACCCACAGAGTGCCTTGACCATATCACCCACAGAGTACCTTGACCACATCACGCACAGAGCACCTTTACCATATCACCCACAGAGTACCTTGACCAGATCGCCCACAGAGTACCTTGACCACATCACCCACAGAGTACCTTGACCATATCACCCACAGAGTGCCTTGACCACATCGCCCACAGAGTACCTTGACCATATCACCCACAGAGTGCCTTGACCATATCACCCACAGAGTGCCTTGACCATATCACCCACAGAGTACCTTGACCATATCACCCACAGAGTGCCAATTGGTCTTAAAAATAGGTCTAACCTGATATGCCCAACATACATGAAGGTGTGGAAAAGGATCCTTGACTTGCTTGCCGCTCGCTAGTCAGCTCGTTCGTTACCTTTCATTTAGGCACGCTCAGGTGTGTACCTCCAGGTGAAAGAGGTAAAGTACCACTTCGGAAAGGTTTCTTATGAAAAAAAAAAAAATAATCTTTACAATATCTCTGTGGTAATTGTCCAGTATTTATCTCAAAACAAAAGAGAATAGAAACTCGTTGACTATGCTGGGGCTTCTGTTTACACGGGTTCTCGGATATCCCTGTTTCACCTCGTTTTTTGAAGCTCTGTCCTAGCGAATATGAAATCATGTCATCTAGTGTACACTGTACCGCCTACAACTATTTCCGTAAAACACATTCCGTTACTTATTTTATATTTGTGTGTGTGTGTGTTTTTTAAATTATTTGCTTGCTGAAGAGGCTTGATCACCGCAATGTCCTACGTTTGTGTATTGATTTTTTTTTAAAAAACTGGTATGCTTTATAATATTCAAATAATTGTCCTTAAGGCTGACAAATCAAATTCTGGAGAATCAATCAATTAACCTTAGACACAAATCCACAAATAGATATATACGCACCCACATATTTATAGAAAGATGACAGGGATAGAAGGCTGCACAAGACAACATAAAAACTGAAACACATAGAGACCACACTGACCCTCACCTCAGATGGTGATTTCGATTATTGTGGAGACAAAAAATGAACTTTAACGCTCAGAGAACTAGCGCATGCTATTCCCCAAAACACTAATATTTAAATGTCTGTCGTCTGCATTATTTATCGTCATTACCCCAACGGACAGACATTCGGTCTGTGGCCAGCATTCTGTCCTGTTGACTTCATCAACCATGAAATTTATGTACCAGATTCTCTTTGATATTTGGACATGACCAACAACCTTCTGATCCGCGTCAAGCCACCGAGGCAACGGCGATCCACAAGGATAAATGGTGATAGCTTAATTGTTTGATTGATCTGTCAGTGTTCAACTCATAGCCAGAAGAAGATACTGTGAAACATGTTTATTTTCAATAAGGTTTCAGCTTAGATGCATGAACCTCCGCAGATCGGCAAACATTTTTTTATCTAAAGAAACGGACTTCATTTGTTACTATTTGCATCCCACTAACTATAAACAATGTACAAATTCTATACTCTTTATGCCTATTATTTGCGGTTAAAAAACACGACAATGACCGTTGTCATCTCGCCACAGTGCTCTCAAAGATGTTCTATAGCAACCGCAGTCCCCCCCCCCCTTTACGAGGTCACAAGTCGGCTACCCACGGCTGACCTGCCAAACGTTGACGTGGCACAATTTTAAATGGCACGCTAAGTGAATAAGATGACAGTCTATGGTCTTTGATAAATTCAAAATTATTATAATTCTCTAACAGAGGTCAAATTATTTTGCGGTAATAGTGTTTGTCAATTTAAAAAAAAAAAAAATATTGATCTACAATGGCAAGGTAAAACTCTAAGAAATGTACCGAATAATCAAAGTCCGGCATGGTGGTGCATGTCTGTGAGTGAAGCCCTAAGAAATGTACCGAATAATCAAAGTCCGGCATGGTGGTGCATGTCTGTGAGTCCAGCCAGTTTATGAGTGGGATGGGCAGTTTCAAAACGGTGTGGCCTCTGCGACAGACTGTTCACTACTTGGTCAGTCTCACCACTATGAAGCGTCATATTAGGAACAAGTACGCTGGGTTACACAGGTAAAACTAACGAAAGCAAACCGAAATATGCATAAGAAAGAGAAGTATTGTAATCATTTGGTTAGATAATTAGTTGGGTTATCATTATTGCACTCTGGACATATCCATTGGTGCTCAGATCCTTCCCTCAGTATGAACCCCAACGTCCGATGGTTAAAAGTACCAGTTCTAATTTGATTAACAAGTCTTCTGGTGTGTCTGGTGTGCATCTCGTTTTTTACTATGCCGTTCTTAATTCCCAAGTCTGCCATTCTGGCGAGTGATGTGGATTCACTGCCCCAAAGTCCTCTATCCTTTCCATTTAATCTTGTTGTGTGAACACAGATATGGACGGCATGGTGACTACTAGAACTATTAGCAGTTGACAAAGCAGAATGAATAATCTAAGGATGCAGAATGACAGATATCGGTAATAGTACTGATGTAGAAAACACCATGAATCGAGGTCTGCGTAGAAAGAGAAATGTCAACATTACAAAACTAAGAACAAAGTGCTACATGTTGAGGTATCCTACAATGTCTTTTAAGTGTGTTCACATTGAACGTTAATGATACAATAAACATCAAGCGGTTCAATTAACGAATTTAAGTATCTGTTTAGTGTCGCTGACTTAACAATATTCAGGATCTATGAGTAAGTATATTAAGGTTTGCGCAAGAGCTATTTAACTGTTTACTTAGGTCCCAAATGTTCAAACTGGCATCGTAACGGTCCCGGGGAACGAGCCTCAGCATAGACGGATCATTAGTACTATACATCTAGAAATTATTCGTGGGCCACATGTTAGGCTTCTGCGGCCCGGATTCAGCCTGCGGCCGCTAGTCGCATGACCTGGGTATATCTGATCTTGTCAGTAGCACAAAGATTGTCAGCACAAAACTAGACCTGACCAAACATCGGAGTCTGATCAGACAAAAGGTAATAAAATGCAATGACTATCCCCACCCGTCTCCCTCACCCCTCATCCAGATATAACTGTTGTAAACTTTGAAAATGGAGCGTAGATATTTGATTTTATTGGGTGGGGGGGGGGGGAGGTGGAATATTTTAATCTTTTGGTGGATAAATATCTTTGGAAACCTAACAACAACATCAAGCCTTGATGGCAAAAGGAAGATACTAATAAAGAGATGAATGTTATTCTCCTATTGCAGTCTCCTCGACTTTGATCTACTTACAACCATCGGCACTTACGACCACACACAAATAAAATAGTAAAGACAGAAAGATCACTACATCGGTTGGGTCAAAAAAGTTCCCGGAACTGAAGTCTACAGTATGAGCGTCTTATTATACAAACATATATTGCATTTTGTGTTTTATGTACAATTGCTATAGCCTGTGTGAACACACACACACACACAAACACACACACACACACACACACACATAGTGTAAAAAAATATTCATTTGATTTACAACTAATTTGACATACGACCTGTTAATCGCAAGGTAACCCCGTAGCAAGTAGGGGAGACCATGTATTTCAATAAATATCATGGGTGGGACAATGACATTAACTTTATCTATGATTCTGGTGACCGTCTGATATGGCTGACCATGATCGGCAATGTTTCTCAGCACAAGCCATGCCGATTTTTTGTGTGTGTGTGTGTGGCTATAATTGTTTTGCTAGTTTGGGCCACCAAAACAGTGTTGATTAACTCGCTCCTTCGATTAAAAACACAAACATTTCATTAAATGATCGTGATGGATATGATGATGATGATGAACATTAAAACAGCATAAGAACCTTGATGTCGTGTCACTGTCGTTGCAGAGAACTGTTGGAGAGTCGAACTCCTAAGTTGCAGATATCCCTGGAATGCCGAACATGGTTGCTTACAAATGTGGAATTCAGAGCATGCGAGGAAGGGTCACAGTTTGAATCACACGGCACTAGATCCAAATGGAGCAACTTCTTGAACGCTGTTCGAAAATCCCTGTTAAAGTATGCGTATATTAAGGGGTTGAGGCACGAATTGAAATATCCTACCCAGAACAAGGCGGATCCTAGCATGGGTGGGTACGGGCACAGGTCGCGGCACATCGTGGTGGCCACGTACCAGGAGAAGAAAGGCAAGAAACACAGTATGAAAGCACCCATGATAATCCCCAACGTCTTGGCCGCTTTATGTTCCCGCTTCATTCTCCTTCGTTCAGACCTGTTTGCATCTCTGTCTATACAGGCACCGTTGGCGTTTCTTAGGTCGGAGTAATGTAAATAGACTGTCGATGTTTGTATCATTTTCTCCTGCTTTCTTGCTTCCATGAAGATGCGGGCGTAGACGAAAAGCATGATAGTGCAAGGAATCCAGAAGGATACGCTTGATGAGACTCCTGCATAAATCCTGTTGACGATAAACGGACAGGAATCTGGGTCGTTGATTAATGCTTGCATGTTTTCTTCTGTGGTGTAAAGTTGAGAGTACACCGGAATGTACGATATAAGTATTGAGGATACCCAGGTGACCCCAAGCATGAGAATAGCGCGGGGTCGAGTCATTTTAGTTTCGTATTGAAGAGGATGCAATATGGCGATGTATCTGTCCATACTTATACAACATAAATGTAGAATGGAAGCTGTGCTGAACAAGACGTCATTGGCGTTGAATATATCGCACATGGTCCGACCAAAGACCCATTTTCCAGTGATTTCCATGCTGGCGTTGAAAGGCATCACAAGAATAGCCACGAGAAGGTCGGCGAACGCCAGGGACACGATGAAAAAGTTTGTGATGCCTCGAAGACGTTCGAATCTCAGGACACTACTGATCACCAGCATGTTGCCGAATATCGCTCCGATTATAATTGCTGCCATGGCCATACCTCTAACCACCAGGCCTACGGCAGACATGGACGTAATCTGGGAGTCATTCTCACTGACCTCCAACTGGGCAATGGTGAAATTTTCTGTGAAGTTTCCATTGTGATCCAATGTCATACTGTAAACGGCCTTTCCGGTACTGATTGCCCCAGTTTTGTCCGAAAGCAACACGGCCAGGAATACTTCACTCACAACATTTTCTGCTAGTTGCAGTTTCACTTCCGGGGCAGCGGCGGCGTAGTAGGCTGAAATCCGCGCCGAGTTTCCACGCCCACTACTCATTTATGATCAAGTGAATGTTTAAAACTTGGACAAAGTGCGACGCTCTTCATCAACGAACTAAATATTACCGACTAGACAACATGAAAGGACTGTTCGTTTCACCATAGTGTGACTGTAACTTCATTTTCTTTTTTTGATCTGAATCAATCGCAAGCCAATCTGTATTAATCTAAACACTAGTCCTATAAAGTTTTCATTTACACCTGATTTCACTTTCTCACTTAATGCCGAGTTAACTCCTCCGTAAAAAATAGTGGACACAAAAGCACTGGAAAATCTCCTTCTCCACTTTCTATGTTCTTGAATCCAGGAAAAAGAAATCTTTCCGTTGATCATTAGTAAGCGACAATTGGCAATGAGACGAGATGTCTCGTAGAGCCGAGCGGCAAAAACTATTTCCCGGAAACTTTCGTTTACTGACAATGATTGTATGATTAGAAAGCCGTTGCCAAACTAGCGGTGTAGCTGTGTCATTACTGACTTCTGAACAGAGTGGTGGCAAGGAGATATTGGCATCCAACGATTCCCCCCAGCCGGCGGTACCGCTGGCGGTCTAGGATTGGCACCTGTAGGAACAAGCGAGTGTTTCTGGCAGGGTGCCTGGCGTTTAGTATCGATCAGAGACCCGCGACACGAGACGCAATTCGAAATGTTCATGTTCTTTTGTCTCATAGTCTGTTTTCCCGCCCACCTAGTAGCATAGGAATATCTTCGGATTTTTTGTTCGCCTCATGTCGATCTAACAATTTCGCTTCAAATTATCATCATCATGAGCCATGCAAGATGGCTTAGGCGTTCACTTATTTCCACATAAATCAGAGCATCCGGGCCCCCAGAAATATGATGTATAATAGTCTTTCTTTTAAACTGTGAAAACTTAAAGCAGTTAAAGAGGAGATGTTACAGTTTCGGTTTTAGGTGTTAGACCAGAGGCTCTCAACCTTCCCAATGACGGTCTGTCAGTCAGTCAGTCAGTCAGTCAGTCAGTCAGTCAGTCAGTCAGTCAGTCAGTCAGTCAGTCAGTCAGTCAGTCAGTAGCATGTCCTTTACAGAACCTTGCTCCCATAACAACCCTCTGAAAACTTCTTGATCACAAGAAAGGTGTCCTGCGTTTGACATACCCATCTGGAGATCATGTGCCCCATCCTGCACCAATCTTATCTGTGGCCTTCCTCTTCCTGTCTTTCCAGGCATATACCCCTCCTTTATTGTTCTATCTAAACTTTCATGACGTTTCAAGTGACCAAAGTATTTCAATTTTCTGTGTTTTATCGTCTGTAATAGCCAACCTTCTTCAATCTTCAGTTCTTGAAGTATGGATGCATTTTCTTTCCCTATGATATTCTTAGAACCCGTCTATAACATTTGTATTCAGAGGCAATTGTGCGCTGTTCAGCTTGTTTAGAAAATGTCCAGGTCTCACAAACGTATGTTGCAATGGGAAACATATTAGAAATCTAATTTTCATAGTTTTATCTGTCCCACTCCATAAATTGTTTAGTTGTTTTAGTCTTTGAAAAGCAATTGATAGTTGTCATTTTCCTAATGCCTTGTGTTGTGGCGATTCCCACCATACAATTATTTCTTTGCTTCTTCGTAACTTCAAGGAATGTGTGTTTTGCAATGGTATTTGGCGACCCCAGTGAAAGGGTCGTTCGACCCAAACATGGGTTGAAAACTGCTGTGTTAGACCACTATATATATTATGTGATGACAAGGCAAGAAACATCAGGGAATGGTGTTTAATCCTGCCCCCGCAGCCACACATGTTTTCAAGGCAGATTAGAGGCTCAATGAGGCTTATCTTTGTTTAGGAACATATAGTAATAATGTGCTAAATATTATTAAATGTAAAAACATATTTGGAGTAATATAAAGTATAAAAACAAGTACTTTTACAGAAACATTCTTTACATGGGCAAAAGAGATTACTTAGCTTCCGCACACGTGTGTGTGTGTGTGTGTGTGCGTGTTTGTGTTTTGCTCGCAATGAGGGGGAGGGGTGTGCCTGGAGGGCAGGAGCCAAAAGACTGCGCCCAGTTTCACTCTCCAGCTGTCATAGCATAAGTAGGTGAGGTTACAATTTATTCTACTCTCCGTGTGGGTTCCAATGCCCCATTGTGGGTTTTTTAAAAAGAACAGACCCACTGATAATTAGGAAGAGTCTGCATACAAAAAAGCCAGATCTGTAAAACGGGTGCACATGCAAAACTCATGTTCTTGAACAACCAGAAACAGATTTGACACAACCCCAAGAAAAAGAAGAAGAAGAAGAAGAAGAAGAAAAAGAAGAAGAAAAACGAACAAACTTTATTTTTAAATATTTAGAAATGGGGCACGTAGGCCCGTCTGACATTCGGCCCTTCTAAGCACTCATTTTTCAGAGTACCAATGCCTGCTATCAATAATGCATGTTATGGATATAATAAATAATTTTTAATTATAGAATAATGCATACACACATCATGTGCACACAATCTTACACACTCAAACACACAAACACACGTACACATACTCTTACATTCTCATCATGCACTTGATCACTTAAAAAAAAGAAGAAGAAGAAGAAGACGAAGAAGAAGAAGAAGAAGAAGAAGGAGAAGATAACTACTAAAATCATTTATTTTCATAACATTGTCAGTCATTTCCAAAAATCTAAGTTGACCCGGCAATATGACCTTGTCACGTGAGCAGATTTGAATCAGACTCACTTTCTATGACCACAATGTATGTTGGCTACAGCTAATCACCAATTCTAATTCCTGTCCTAGCCTACCAAGAGAGCATGGTTTTATGTCAGTGTTGCATTGTTTTGTAAAGTTGAGGTGACCCAGCTGCTTTATGCTTGACTGGGATACAATGCAATGGGCTGAATTTTACTTCAGTAGTTTCAACTGTAAATGTGAAAGGCTTTGAGCAAAACTAGCAGAGGTCATTGGAGAAATGAAGAAATTACAAAAAAATAGTGGAACAACACTAATCAATAAGTTTTTAAAAAAAACACTTAAAGTTTAAACATTCATTGAGAATGAATCCAATGATGCTAGAGGCAAGAGCGTACAACATGAAAGTAGAAACAGCAGGAAGTAGTGGACGACCAAGAAGAACATGGATTGAAGGAGTCAATGATATCATGAGACTCTACAATACCACAGCAAACCGGGCGATTGAGTGTGCCCTAGCAGCACAAAACAGAATATGGAACCATCCCCCCTCCCCCGTCTCCCTCGCTCCCTTCCCTCCCCGCCCCACATTTTTTTTAAAATTTAAACACAAATTTAAATGAATTTTGCATGTAACATAGGAAAGAAAGCAACTATTATAGTTGTCATCATCATCTTCGTTATCATCATGACGTTTCGAAATCACTACTATCCTCCTCCATTGTGAAACTGTTGTTACACTTTTATGTAACTCTACCCCGTGTGTAGATTTGGCTTTGCGAACGCGCTTCGTAATATCGGGCTGCCGGGATCGATCACTTCTGCCGACGATATGTCTTGCGTTGGTTTCGACAATGGTACCGAGACCTGACCTTTCGTAAAGCAATGGCAAACTACTGAACGTAATATGTGACTTGAAAAACAACAACAGCAGCAACAGCAAAAAGCTGGACTTGGTTCTGCAACGTTCTGTAAAGAAAAGGCAACTAACCTTTTTTTTTTAACCCACCATAATGCAATGCTGAAAGAACAGACAAACAAATAAACAGTGTTTTTTTCTTCAAATTATAAGTAGGTAAGTAAATTTAACCCATCAGGACATTACACAAAGCGATAAACGCACACAGTGACACAAAGTGCCACCATGCGGATGAGGATCACCCGTGGAGAGGTCCTAGAAGCCCCTTTCAACCGTTAAGCCATATTTATGGCCCAGCTGTATTCAGGGCCCCAGGCAAAATCCAGGGTGGGCTACAAACAACGAAAAATTGCATCCCACATGTGGACAACTGAATGCAATTTTTTAAACTGAACAGCTTATTTCAATGCTTGTGTAGTGTTTCAGGTTGTGGTACAATAGCTGCATCCTGGAACTCATTGGGGTCAACAATAGTCATTCATAATTCATAAACATCATGAACCGATCGTGTAAAATGGGACAAGCTAACAGTTTTCAGAAAATATAAACTTTTCGCTGGCCAAGTGCCATGCTGTTTTGATTTGTATGTATAGTCCAGTCTCAAAGTAACACGTATCTATACTCACTTCGATACATAGTCAAGAACTGATATTGTCGCAGCCAGTACCCACCCATTCAACATTTTCGAAACATAAATTAAGAAAAATATATTGATCAAAATGACAAACACAAGAAAGAACTTACCTAAATTCAAAGTCGGAGTGGAAACCTTTCATTTAATGGACAAAAGGGCCAATACCCTTTGACTAGGAGCGGTAACTCTATAATGTAATATGGTTTTTCCGGATGATCTTCCTTTTGTGATTTAGTTTTTCTTACGAAAGAATTCAATAGTTGTTTGTGATCAATGCATTAAAAATTGGCGGGGAAGTAAGACTTTTTTCCCTTAATTTTAGGTCAACAAAATTTTTTAAAATGACACTATTTGAGACTGCAATTAAATTTGATTATATTCTGAGTACTTTTAATTTGGAATGTAGAACTTTGTATGTTTGTTTCATTTAAATTAACATAATATAGATATTAGTATACCTACTCCGACACGCATGTGTGTAATGCTACGAAAGCGTGACATTACAGTCCTTCCAAAAGAGGGCGAACTTTACTTTCATGGTGTCTCATTCAGGGATCGCTACGGAAGTCATGAAAGCCATCCTGGGTCACCCTGAAAAGTCCTACCCAAAGGGGATCTG